GGGGGAACGAAATTTAGACCCTCTTTGACAACCGTTGAAAAGAGACTTAAATTTGAAGTTTTTATATTATTTTTCTTTTCTAAGTTTATTAAATTACTAGTAAAAATGCTTAATTAATTGAAATAATGAATATATAAATGTTGCTATTGATTTATTTTAAGTTATTAATTGTGCAGTAGATATTATTGATTACACAACCATCGTTAGATTGACCGTACGTGCATATATATCTTTATTTTAAGTTATTAATTGTTAGGTTTCTATTGTATTGACAATTATTTAGATAAATGGATTAACATGAAAGATTTGTAAAAGTCAAGAAATCTTTTGAAGTTCGTAGTATAGTCTTTGAAGGAGGCCAAGATGTCCCAGAAGATCACATATGATTAAATGAATGTAATTAGAAGTCTAAAGAATATCAAAGAGCCGCATAAGTTATGTTCCAAATTTTCAGTGGTAATTTGCAATGCATTTTTCACATAGAAAATATTGAATTTGGACAAGGCTATTTCTAGGAGTTTTATGTTGGCTTTCTAGAGCATTTTGAATCACTTCAACTAGGCATCGAAAGAGAAAGTTACAATGAAAATACTGACAGCTATTCAGCTGTCGCTCAACTGTCGCTGGCTGTTTGCTCGAGCGACAAAAACAGAATGCATCTCACTCGCCTGTCGCTAGCTCCTCCCTCGAGAGACAGAGTTATGTGCGAAACACTCTAATTTCCATTTTTGAAGAGTTTTACATGGTCCATACTACCTAAACACTTTCAACTATAAATACCCAAGTCCTTGCATGAATTTTTTGGTTTTTCATGGTGCTTCTTATTCATAATATATTCATAAATGATTATGTGGTGGTAAATTCAAATAGTCAGTCCTCTATACATCTATGTAAAAACCCTATTTTTCACGAACGCACCAAGCACATTGAAAATGGTTGAATAGTTTGCTTCAATCAAATATATGATGTTGGGATTGACAAGTATATATATAAGTATCTCATCTTAAATATGTATATTATTGTATGTGTAAGAATATCTCTACTGTCTCATTAGGAAGGTCCTCAAAAGAGTAACAATGTCGAACACTTGTTTTCTTTCTACTTCTTGGATACATCCATTTCACTATTTTGCCCTAGCTTCGACTAGAGGGTAAACAAACCCTATTTACCCATAGCTGCAGGATCTTTCAGAACAATCTACATGGTTCATGGTGTTATTGCTTGTTGTTATTGACCTTTTAATAGTTGGGATGAACTTTGGTCCGTCTATAACTGGTATTTATTGCTTTGGTCTTTTATGAAGTGCAATCCTATCTTACATGCCTTAGGTGATATGCATTCTCTCACGATCTCCCTTAATTAATGACACGACCCGTCCCGAATCACTTTAATGGACCCCAAACATGACGTGCACCGATGATAGATGCTGACTGGATGTCAAACCTATCATCAATGCTGACTATGAGTTACTACAAAATGTGCCAAAATCAAATGAAATGCAAAATATAATGAGATGGGCCCAAATTATTTACTTTATGCCTCATCAATATGAGTTTATAACACTCAACATGTCGTGTGACTCTCATTTTGAAATCATTAGGCCCTTCCAGCTAAAAAGAATCAATTGCTACTTGTAAGAAAATTACGGAAAAATATATGAGTTGATAGCTCAGTGAGTGGAGAAGTTCGAAAATAATTATACTTTTCCATTTAAACATTTTTCTCATACATAGGCATCAAGCTCATATCATTTAGTAATTCACACAATAGCCTCATAAAATTTATATCCAAAAAAATTGAGAAATTCTCATAACTCTATAAATATCATCTCATATCCATGATAGTCATTAGCTGATATCTATACCATCATCTCATCACATCACATGTGATCTACCAAAAATGTACCCTCTGACTAAAATATGTAATTCGCGCCTCGGGTTAATTACTTTCGCCACGGGCCTTTGGCCTCCTCTATGAACGAAAGCCGGTCTCAAGACCTCTAGTAATCAATTCTAGAACACGGCAAAGGCCTCTCAGTGAACTATATGTATATGGTCGAGACCCCTTCATCCTCGGTCCAAGACCCCTCAGCATAGTATAGAACACGGCCAATGCCCTTTTGTGAACTAGAAGAAATATATAATCACGGGTACTTTTCTGATCGATCTCAATATCACATATCTCACATACCAAACAATTCTTAATATCATAAAAAATCCTTAAAATTCCGCATGGATCATAATAAAAGAAATTTTTATCGTAATCACATAATGAAGCAAATTAAATTTTTATTGTAATCACATAATGAAGCAAATAAATCATATAAGTGCATATACTTTGATACTATACTTAATTTATAAATACTTTAAAAATATTTATATTTTTCCACTCACAGAACTATGATCGCAAAATGAACTCGGTTGGTAAGCTGTCCCGATGTCAGTATTGCCGCCTGAAATATAATATAATTTTTAAATCAACAATTAATTATTTTAAGTAATCTCAATAATTAAATAGGCGATACCCAAACTTAATCATTTCACGTTTAAGCAATTTCTACAGTCTCTTTAATCACTAAAATTAGTTTTTCTTTCACTTTACTCAATTTCATAATTTATTATACTTAACCCCTTCGATAAACTTTTATTTAGTCTAAAAATCTAACAACTATAAAATTAAACATAACTTGAAATAAGTAACTTTTTACTTACCTTTCAAAATTGAGGAATTCAAGCTTAATACTAGAAATCACTTTTATATATATATATCCACCGCTTACCCATTTATTATATCTTTTTTTTTTTGCTTGACAATGTTGACTTTTCTTTTTTCCCTTTTTTTTTTCTTTTTACTAAATTAAGGTATTACAAAACTCATCCCCTCAAAAAAATTTCGTCATCAAAATTCAATTGACTAAGATTCGCACATGTAATATAAATAGGGAACACCTTTGATCCTCGCTTGCTATAACGCCTCATCTATTGAATGATTACTCCAACAAACTTTTAGTCCCAAAATTTAATCCTTCCTATCATACCTTTAATAACTTCCTAAGAGCCAATATATGATATTCTTGTCTTTTCCTTTTCCCAACTCTCAGGAAAACTCAATTATTTACCAATTTAAAGTCTAAGATACTACTTTTCATGTACTCCAAATCTTCACCTTACGCCATAGTTTAAACTATTCTATAATCACATTATTTTTCTATAACAATGTTAACATATTAAGATCTAACAACATTCTTTCTCCCATTTCGTTATACATCCTTGGAATATTTCAATATTATATATAACCTCAATTATCATCACTTGTGTCTAGTTTTTATATGTCAATTCTATGAAAATAAAGAATTATCCAAGTCTCCTTTAATTAACCAATGATAGTTGATAGCCTCTCTTTTGAATTTGTCTTCATAGTGTTTAACATTCTATCAAAAGAAGATGTAAAATGTAATTTAATTATATAACCTCTTACAGCTAACCAAAGATAGATACTCCAATTCCACCATGTAATCAACAATATTGTCTAGATATAATTTTATAAATTTATCATATGAACTGACTATATCTTTTAAAAATAATCTTGTAACCTTTATCAATCTATCCACAATGATTTAAATACTATTTTGTCTCCATTCCGTGTATTTGGAATCCCCGAACAAAAAATATTTGAGGGTAACTACCTCCATTCTAAATTGATAATATCTCAAAAAAATTCAATTGTTCATGATTTTCTAAAATTCTAGTTATCCCCAAAAAAACAATTGAGATAGCTCAATATGGTGTTTTTTTTTCCCTTTAATTCTATATCACCTACTAAAAATATATACACAATTTCCATTTCTACCATTTCGAATAAAATCTACCTTAAAGTCTGATGATTGATAACTATTGATATTTCTCGCAATGTGATGGCAAAATCCCAATATAACCAACTCCAAATCAACGATCTACAGTATCATCCATAATTTATAAGTTTACTTCAGAATACTTTCTAAACCTTAACAAAAATCATTATCGTGAATCAATCACTTATCATCTTTAGATATAAAAGCAAATATTTCCTCAAAATTTCCAGATAGCAAAACTTTTGACATTTCTATACTCATAAATTTTGTTCTTTCTTTCTACGAAGAGACAATAATAACATTTAATCATGAAAATCTATACTCTTATTTCATAAATGGGTCGTTGATCTATCATCAATGTATAATCATTCTTGTATATCGCATAAAGACCTTTAATTGGGATAATGTAACCTAAAGATACTATCCCACAATTGAATAAAAATTACATTCAATGATCACCCTAAACTTCAAACTATTCGACATATCACCCATATATTCCATCGCAAACAGATTTGAATAAACATGGAATATTTTATACGGGAAATCCAAAAATAAAATTGAAAATAACCCAAAAATTACATCACTAAAAAATTATTAAACTCATTTTAACTTCAAAATTTAACCAAATTGTATAGAATATAACACAATAATCTAACGAATGGCCTTATCAAAATTAATTAACTTAATAACCCAAATTTATCATCACATTATTTTGCTATAGGACAACCATTATATTCATTTACATGCTATTCACCGTATCATGTTATGATCATGTAACCTTGGCATTTATAGTCATATTGCCTGACCTAAAACATTTAATTATATCAATTTTCTTTAATACCCAGGATAATAACCTTCATATTTATCACATGAACATTTCACACATCAATATACTGCATGTTAATTTCCCAATCTCAATAAATTTCGATTATACCATTCTCTAATTTTGTTTTTCCACATAACATACCTAAATGCACATATTCATTTAATTCTATTTTTAAAGCAACAAATCGCCCCCTAATAGGTAATCATTATAAAGTTCATCCCTATTATTCTCACATTCCTTGTAATCAAACCACTCATAAATAATCGAAATAATTGGAATTACCGTTAATTTCATCGATGCTTAAAGTACACAATAACACATTGTCATCTATCACTCAACAAACCATCATTTTGCCTTCCACAATTTTTTATCATATAGCATAAATATACACCATCATGATTTCTATTATCATCCCATAAAAGTGGCCACAAATCACCACAAAATTTGATAACACTAATGACCATTTGGCTTCAAGAATAATTAAAATTCCCCACCGAACCTTGTATTTATCGTGCAAGCTATAGCTAAAATTTTCCTATGTACTCATAAAAAAAATCATGTAGTTCTAGAAATAAATTAATAACTTAGTGGTTGTAACATCTGTAACTTCGAATGCCCCGTAAAATCATCAAAATCTGTTCAAATCTTAATAGGTTACATACACACATAGTTCCAACCCAACAACTAATAACATTTCCAACCATCTGATCATTACAACTACCATACTTACATACGAGTCATTTCTAAATCTGTTAAAAAATAATTTTCTATTATTTTGGGTTCTATACATTCGAGCTAGAGTGCTTATGATTTCTGCCACCACGACATTTGACCATACGCACTGAATATGCATGATATGTCAATGCATGAACTACAAGGACTTTCAAAACTTTATAACCATGCTCTGATACCACTTTGACACGACCCGTCCCGAATCACCCTAGTGGACCCGAAACGTGACGGCGCCGATGATAGATGCTGACTAGATGTCAAATCTATCATCAAGACTAACTATGAGTTATTAAAAAATGCGCCAAAATCAAATGAAATGCAAAATATAATGAGATGTACTCAAATTATTTACTTTATGCCTCATCAATATGAGTTTATAACACTCAACATGTCGTGTGGCTCTCATTCCAAAATCATTAGGCCCTTCCAGCTAAAAAGAATCAATTGCTACCTGTAAGAAAATTATAGAAAAATATATGAGTTGATAGCTCAGTGAGTGGAGAAGTTCGAAAATAATTATACTTTTCCATTTAAACATTTTTCTCATATATAGACATCAACTCTGGTAGATCCACTCTGGTAAATTGGCTGAAACCTTTACATTATCGTACTGACAGATCATCGTATGGGGTGATCATTAGGATTGGGGGTTATCATTGTTTGGCAACCATTGCTTGTGCTAGAAAATTTAGGAATTATCTACCCTATTTGAAGTGTTGAAGTTGATTGAACGTTAGTAATTGATTTTGTGCTTTAACTATCATATAGTCACTATGTGAGACTTGTTGCGTGAAAATTCAAAATCTTGTTTACATGCCTTCGTGCTGTATTGATTATCCTGTTAGAACACTTGGACTTGACATGTTTGAACATTTCCTTGATCCAAGATCGCA